AAGGAGAAGAGGAGCTTCTTTGGGCAGCGCAAGGACTATTGGGACTTCTTGTGCCAGGGCCTAGCCCGGTGCCGGCAGGAGCATGAAGGCATTCACTTCGTCACCTCCCTGGACAAGGTGGGCATGGGCTGGTGGGATACCCAGGGACTTGTGCACACACATGGGCTTTTGCTTGCTTGTGGGTGCACATGCACCTCTGCACAGGCACACACTCGCTTGGGCACCAAGCATTCACCCACTGGTGCTATAAACAGTTTTGTGCCCTCTGGGATCCCCACTGCACCCCAAGCCTAGCCCTGGGGACCCTCTTTCCCTGCATGGGCTGGGAGGGAGGTGTGTGGAGGGGCACACTGGAGTGACAGGGATTGATACCCCCTCTCCCCGCAGCTGAAGACCCCTGTGGGCAGGGGCCGAGCCTTCCTGCGGTACTGCCTGGTGCACCGGCAGCTGGCAGAGTCCCTGCAGCTCTGCCTCCTCGACCCCGAGAGCCTCTGGTGAGAGCAGGGGCACCGTGAGGGGATGCTCGTGGCGCTGGGGGACATGGCCAGGGTGGGCAGTGCCCTGCAGCACCCAGTCAGCAGAGCATGTGTACCTGTCCAGGGCATAGAGGGATGCATGAGCTTGTTTTGTGGTTGCAGCGAGTGGTACTACGCCCGTAGCCCCTTCCTGAGCCCCGAACGGCGAGCAGAGATCCTGGGCAGCCTCTATGAGCTGGACTGCGTCACCTTCCACCTGGCTCTGCACAGGAGTGACCTGGACACCGCCTGGCCCATGTTCTCTGAGTGAGCTTGGGGACACTGGGGGCACCAGGGGCATTGGCAGCACTGGGGATGTCAAGGGCATCAGAGGCACCTGGGGTTTAGCATTGCAGAGAAGCATGTGTGCATTGCCCCACTGCCCTAGACCCCACACAGCACTCCAAATGTGCCAGCTCTCCACGTGTGGCCCCAGGAGGGCACAGTCACTGGCACCAGCACGCACACCATGCCTGAAATCCTGCCACATGCATGTGTACACACACACACACACAAAGAGCCATCTGCTGCCAGGTGTATCCCTGCTGCAGCACCGTGACACTGTGACACCTGACACACAGGGCACATGTATGTGGGTGCCACATGTTCTGTGGGTGCTCAGGCTGGTGGCACCAACATCGTTGATCCCCTGCCCTGTGCCCCCCAAATTCCTAAAGGCTGCTGTGCCCAGCGAGCCTAAATGGAGGGTGGTGATGTCCTGTTCACCTTGGGGGTGACCTGGTAGTCCTGAGCCCTGTGTCCCCTCTAGGCCACTGGTACGGCCCAGCGCGGTGACCAGGAGCAGCCCAGCAAGGACAGCCCTGCAGACGGACAGGATCGGCACTGTGGCACATGGATGGCCCGGTGGCACTGGCCATCCCACTGTGGCACTCCATGGGGCACTGGCCCATCCCTGCCCACCCATTTTGGCTGCCCTGCAGGCAGGGAGCGTGGAAATGGAAGATAGAGAGGAAGATGTAGAGGATGGGGAGGTGAAGAAGGACGTGGAAGAGGAGGATGAAGAGGAAGTGGAGAAGGATGACAGTAGGGATACAAAGGAGGTGAAGGTGGAGGATGTGAAGGTGGAAGATGTGGAAGTGGATGTGGAGGAGGATTTGGAAGAGAAGCATGAAGAGTTGGAGGAGGATGAGAAGGAGATGAAGGACATGGATGTAGAGGAACTGAAGGATGCGCATGGCACTGCCAAAGCAGCCCGGCCTGATGGGGCTGGAGAGCCTGGCACGTCCCCACTGTCCACCGGCACACGGTGCATGCTGGGGTCCCCGTCCCTGGTGCCCAGGCAGCCGGGTGGGACAGAGGAACCCCTGCCGGCTCTGGTGTCCCGGCTGCGGGCCGAGCTGGCTCAGCGTGAGGCGGCGGCGCGGGCGCTGGCGGCGCGGCTGGCGCGGGCCGAGCTGCGGCACCGGCGGCAGGAGGAGGGCAGCGCCCGGCGGGCACAGCTGTGGGCACGGGAGGCGGAGGCTCTGCGGGAAACCAACACCTTCCTGCAGCGGGCACTGCGGGCAGCGGTGGCGCCGGGGGACCCGGGGGCGCTGGCGCGGGCACAGGAGGAGGCACGGGGCTGGCAAGGAGTGGCAGAGGAGCGCGGTGCCCAGCTGGCCAGGGCGCGGGCAGAGGCGGCGGCGCTGACCTCGCGCCTGCGGGAATGCCAGGAAGCGCTGGCGGCGGCAGGACGGACGGACATGGTGAAGGATGCTGGTAGCTCAGATGAGGTGGCTGCCGTGGAGGAGGTGCTGCGGCAGGCACTGGAGCTCGCCCGTGGTCCCCAGGAGTCCCCAGGAGCCCCCCAGGCAGAAGGGGAGCCCAGCACGGTCACCAGCATGGCCATGGTATGGGCAAGTCGGAGGGGATCCCGCGGTGGGGTGGGGGTTTGGGTCCAGGATTGAGTCTCCACTTTCCCCCAGCGCTTGGCCAGCCTGGCTGCCACAGCACAGGAGGAGACCTGGCAGAGCCGGCAGCAGCTCCAGGCCCAGCGACAGGAGATGGCACGGCTGCAGGAGGAGCTCAGCAGGTTGGGCAGGGACCCCTTCTTCCACACCCATCACCCCGGAGTGGGAGCTCCTATCTCCACCTGCCACATGGTTTCCCCTGGGGCCCCCAAAGATGTCCTGCTTGGACACAGCCGAACAGCAGCTGGGGAGTGGCGAGGGAGGGAGGGAGATGATGGATGATGGATGGATGGAGGGATTTGAGAGGGGAGAACTGGAGGGAGGGGTCAGTTTGGGACTGATAGGTGGGTGGAAGGGTAGGTGGGCAGAGATCTGGAGTGGTTTGGCATTAGTAGATAGAGGGAGGGAAGGAGGGATCAATTTAGGATGAATGGATGGAGATGGGACGGTGTATGGAGAGACACAGGGATGAGTATTTGGGATGAGTAGATTCGTGGGTGGGCACAACGCCAGAGGTATGGATGTGGAGAAGGATGGATAGACAGTGGGAAAACGGATGGGTGGCAGATGGCAAAGTGGCCGTGAGGGTGGGGAGAGAGCTTGGGGATGGATGGGCAACAGCAGAGAAAAGGGAGGGAGGGAGGAAAGGAGGGAGGGAGGAACCAGCGGCGGGAGGTTCATCCGCATGCATGGAGGGATGGGACACGACCAGCTGAGAGACAGGGCGACCGTGTCGCCGCTGCCCCGCGGCAGGGCCCGGCAGGACGGAGAGCGCTGGGCAGCGGCGCTGCAGCGGGCGCAGCGGGAAGCGCTGGAGCGGGAGGCCACGCGCGGCGCCGAGCAGGCACGGCAGCAGGAGCTCATCCGCGACATGAAGGGGCGGCTGCTGGAGCTGCTGCGGTGAGAGCGCCGGCGACTCCGCGCCAGGGCAAGGGCACCCAAACCCCTTTGCCCAGAGGAGGGCACCAGAGCCCAGGCAAAGCCAGCGCTGACCTCTCCCCTCCCGCAGGGAGAAGGATGCCCTGTGGCAGAAGACAGAGGGCATTGACACTCCGATGCCCAGCGCGGTGCCCCGCGACCCGGGGCTGTGTGCCCGCTGCCGCAAGGATTTCCGCCTCCTCTCCCGGCGGTACAGCTGCAGGTGGGCTGTGAGGGGAGCGGGGCTGCCCCTGGCACAGGGCGGGGACGGCTCAGCTCTCACCTCCTGCTCTCCCAGCAGGCTGTGCCAGGGCAAGGTGTGCCACTCCTGCTCCGTGGACATGGGCAAGCACGGCCGCTGCTGCCTGATTTGCTACCAGCAAAGGCACCCGCAGGCCACATGAGGGGGGACAGCAGCCCTGGCACCATGTCTGGGACACCTCCTGCCCTGGCTGCCTCCTCTTGGACTTACGGGGTACCCAGGTGTCCAGGGCCTGCATGCAGGTCCTGCTGCCCGGCATTTTGGGTTTGACATGTGTCTTTCTTGCGGCTGGTCCACAAAGAGGAAAACTACTCATTTCTGCTACCCTGTGTCTTCTGTGTCGTCCATCAGTCACTGCCAGATTGACACTGGGGTTGGATGCAGGGTGGGGAATGCTGGTGTGGGGTGTTCAAGTTCTTCTGGGGGAAACCATCCCCAAAAAGGGTGCCTTAGCTGCAGCCAGGGTGAGCCACTGCCTGCACCATCCCACAGTGGGGAGAGTAGACAGCTCTTGGCCAACAGCTCTGGCTTCCTATCACGCTGCAAGGAACCACTTGGGCAAGAGGTTTCTCAGATGCAAAGGTGATGGGCTGTCCTTGCTGAGCAGCCCCACTGACTCTGCTCTGCCCCAAGTCCTCAGGGTTCCCACCGGGGTGCTGGGAAACCCTGTACCCACCCATGAGCCAGTGCATGGGTGACATCTGCTGATGTCTCCATGGTTTTGGACCCCTAGGAACCTGGATCAAGGTCAGTGGAGGAGCAGTATGGGACTCCAGTGGAGAGATACGTAGGTGTGCCGGGGCAGGCATCCTGAGGCCTGGCACACAGAGTGGCAGGAGAGTCCCCAGCAGGGTCACAGTCCCTTCTTCAGCGCCTCAACCCCAGTCAAGTGTCAGCCCCAGTTGCCCAAGCCATGGCGGAAACATCCCGGTTGTGTAAGGGACAGGTTCCCAGCCCTTTGCACAACAATCTCCTGACCCATGGCTGGGAGGGGGAGTGGGGGTGCCTGGGGTGCTGGCACCCTTCGGGCAGGGGTCACAGGGCTGGCTCAGAGTGAGGGGCTGCTCAGAGATCTTTCAGTGATTTGCTCTGCTGGGGTTGAGACTGGGGTTGGGAAGAGAATGACTTTGTCCCCAGGTGAGATAGACTTCACATAGAGACCTCTGTACCATCAAAGTGCCAGGACCTCTCTGGGGAACTGTAGGAAGTAAAACCTGGGCTTGGGTCCCCTGTTCGGATGCATAGGATGCTAAACCCTGTCCTGGAAGGATTCTGACAGGCTCAGCAGGCACCACTGTTTTGGCACTGTCCCCAGAGAGGTGCCCTGGCCCTGTCCTGCCATGTCCCTTCCCATGGCAAAGAGGAGCCAGACATGGGTGACCAACCCACCAACTCCTTTATTGCTGGCTGGTCATCAGGTAAATACACCACCCCCACAGCAGGCTCACAGAATCCACAGGGTCACAGGCTTTGTCCCAGAGAGAGGGGAGGGTGGACACTTGACATCACTCCCCTGGCAACGGGGTCCTACCACCTTGCCACCCAAGCCCCCTTCCAGTTGGGGTCCAGCATCCAGTGGTGGCCCTGCCCATCCCCATGGCATCACCACCCACATTCCAGGGGGCTGGATGAGGATGCTGAGGTGTGTGGGGTGCTGGGACCTGCTGGCACACACAGGGCTGGGTCCCAGAAGAGCTCAGAGGGTGGTGGATGTATTGCCGGAGGTGGAGGCATAGGAGGCGCGGCCGTAGCGGGCAACAGCCTCCTTGCTGATCAGCCCACGCTGTGCCAGGATCTTGAGGAAGCTGTTGCGAAACTTTTGACCGATGAAGGCATAGATGATGGGGTTGATGCAGCTGTGGGCAAAGCCCAGCACCTGCGTGACAGAGAGGGCTGTGTCGATGCGGTTCCTCCTCTCACAGGTCTCGGCAATGGCCCGCGTCCTCATGAGGGTGTCGCTCACCAGCGTGATGTTGTAGGGCAGCCAGCAGACGAGGAACACCAGCACCACAGCGAAGATCACCTTCATGGCCCGCTGCTTCTGAGCGTTCTTGGTCTGCAGGAGGGTGTGGATGGTGACGCCGTAGCAGAAGAGCATCACCAGGAGGGGCAAGACAAAGCCGAAGGTCTGCGGCAGGACCCGCAGCACTACCCGCCACTTGGCCGTGTCCTCGCCGCTGATGCGCTCGTAGCACACGGTGCCGTTGTTGGGTGAGCGGAAAGCCTCGCGGAAGAGCAGCACGGGCAGGGACAGCAGCGTGGAGAAGACCCAGATGCCCAAGCAGACAAACTTCACCCAGTGCCTCTTCTCGGTGGCAGCCCGTGTGGCGTAGACAATGGCCAGGTAGCGGTCCACGCTGATGCAGGCCAGCAGAAGGATGCCGCTGTAGAAGTTGGCTTCCTGCAGCACGGAGATGGCTTTGCACATCACAGTGCCAAAGACCCACTCGTGGGCTCGGTAGGCTGCCCAAAGTGGCAGGGTCAGAGCAAAGAGCAGGTCTGCCATGGCCAGGTTGAGCAGGTAGACGTCGGTGACAGAGCGGCTGGTGTGGATGGAGGTCACCACCAGCACCACCAGCCCGTTCCCCACCACACTGAGGATGAAGACGAGGCAGTAGATCACCACCACCAGGTACTTGTTGAGGACAGAGCTTTCAGGCCGGCATGGGGAGGATGAGATAGCAGTGTCAGGCATCGCTGTGGAGTCATAGGTGTAGTTGTAAAGGTAGAAGATGTTGGAGAAATCTCCACTGTAGGACAAGGACTCCATTTCACCTGTGGAGCACAAAATAGCGTGAGCGTGAGGTGGCAGTACTGTGGACCAGGGGTGACAGCATCTTTGGGTCCTCTGGCTTTTCTATTGTCCCCCAGGTCCCCTCCCAGCCAGTGGGCAGCTGTCCTTCATCACTGCACTGTGATGGAGGACACGGCATCCACACTGTGCCAGGAAATGGTCAGTACTGCAGGCAGACGCTGTTCCTCATATACCCCCTCGTAAAACACCCCCTGCATGCCTCAGTCTCCTGCATTTCACCCCAATCCTGTCCCTTTCCTGACTCCTGTGGAAGAAGAGGTTCCCCCACAGAATGATCATCTCTTCTCAGTTTGGGGGGCTTCCCCATCAATGTAGCATCACATCCCTCCAGGAGACATCTGGCTCCTCCAGAAACCCTGGGCTACCCTGCTTCCTGTGGCTCCTTCAAAAGCCTCTCAGCTCTTTGGGCATCTCAGAGCCCCTCAGGCACCTCCAAAGTTCTTCAAGTACCCCTGTACTCCTCCAGCCTCTCCACCCCCTCAAGCATTGCTGCTGTGATGCCTGGAACGGAGCTGCCCCTCCTGCCACCCCAGCCAGCAGCAAGGCTGTGGTCATGGTGCCTGGGGCAGGCAGCACTCAGGAAGGTCTGAGGGTGTTTTTGTGCCCTTCTTCCCCACCCTGGTCTTGCTCCTGCGGGAGTGGTTTCAAGCTCCCGGCAGAAAGACACGTCGCACTTTGCAGGCAGCTTTGGAAATATTACATCTCTGGTTTTCCTGTTGCTCAGCTGGGCACTGCCACGTCCCCCCGCGCCTGGCCTCAGTGGGGAAATCACAGGTGGCAGTCGCTTTTTCCGTCTCTTCACACATAGGAGACAGTGAGCTTGCTCTCTTCCTGCCTCCCCAAAGACCACTGGCTTTCAGCCTTATCCCAGAATGGATCTGGACTCTTGTTTCACTCTGGTTTCACCCGTCTGTCCCATTTCTGAGCCCCCAGCCCCTCCAGGGCTTGGAGATGCCAGGACTGCTTGGGGTGCTGAGTCCCCCCAGTGCTGGGGTCCCCCAGCTCCGAGCTGGCCCTGGTTGAACCCAAACCATCCCTGGAACCAACTTTCCCCTTTTTCCTGATGTGAATTCCCTGCTGCAGCTGGGCTGGTGCCGCTGCCCAGAGAAACCTCTCCCTGGCTCTGCTGTATCCTCTCTCACAGTGATCCAGGGGTGGAAATCTTGGGATGGTGACACCAGGGTGGTGATGCTGGGATGCTGAGGCATCAGCATCCTGGAGGACTGCGAGCAGGGATGCTGCCAGTGCTGATGGGGGAATGTCCTCCCGAGTGGGGCTCCCACAGGCACGGGGCAGAGCCTGATGCCAGTGCTTCCCCTCCATCTATTTCTGGCTGCTGCTTTCTGCCTCCCCGCTCCAAAATTCTGGTGGTTCCTCTGGAAACGGGTATTCCCCGGGTATAGCACACACAGACACCCCACAGCTGGCCCAGATGAGGGGAACAAGCAGCACTCCATTTCCCCTCCTGACCCTGGCAGGGCTGGGGACAGTGGGGTGGCCCTGGGGCTCTCAGTGGGGAGGAAAGAGGGACATGCCATGGGGAAGGCTCATCGCTGTGCAAGGAAATGGGAGCAGGCTTTTTCCCCACGGCACCCAGGGCTGATGTCCCTGGGGAGTGCGGAGGGTTTGCACGCCAGAGGAGCCCTCAGCTCACCCTTGGGTGCTCTCACCCACCACCTCCCTCTACCACGCAGCCTCTTGGGCAGCTGGAGCAACCCACCCCAGCCCCCAGGCTGCTCCACGTGTGAAGAGGCTCAGATGGGAGCTGTCAAAGGCCAAGGAAAGCCACAATCCACAGAGGTGCACCCCACGGACTCACTGCTTGTTGCCGTCGCCGTCCCCTCAAGTGCGGAGTCTTCTCCTGATCCCAAGCTGTTTCTCACCGGGAAGCACACAGGTACGGGTTTAAATCCAGATGTCACCCCAAAGGGCTCCGGCGCAAAGCGTGCTGGGGTGCAGGGCAGCACCAGAGCCAGGGGTCTCGCCAGCCAGAGGCTCCCTCACCTGTGGCCGCTGCCACGCCACCTCCCAGCGCCCCTGCCCTCCACCACCCCCTTTATACTGCCCGGGGAGGAAACGTTGCAAAACTTTCTCCCAGAATGAAGCGGAAGTGGCAGCCCAAGGGACCCTTCCGTGGTCACCCCAGATGCCTTTCCGAGTCCGAGGGGAGCCCGCAGCCCTCTGTCACCCTCCTGTCCCAGGATGTCCCAGGCCACGCTGCACGGGGGGTACACCCAGGGGTTCATTGTCATCCCTGCCACGATGCACCCCGGGGGTCTCCAGGCCCTGTGCGGATGAGGACATCCCCTTCAAGGCACCCCTGTGTGCTGCAGTCCCCCCAGGAGGGCAGAAGGTCCCCGAGGCCATGGCCGGTGGGTGCTGGCAATGCAGGGCTCTGTGCCTCAGTTTCCCCACGGACAGAGCAGGGGTGGTGTCAGCATTTGGGGGATGCACAGGGGACTGCAAGGCTGGCTTGCCCTCTGTTGGGGATTGCTGTGAGGGACCCCCCAGAGCAGAGCCCCATGTCCCTCCTGCCCTGGCTGTGCCTTGCCGAGTCAAGCCATGCCATGAGTGCCATCAGCCAGAGCCCCCCATGACTTCGGGAATGCTGTGGCTGCGAGTACCCCTATGGCCTCTAGGGAGAACCGCACACAAGGGCATTCCCCGTGCACCCCCAGTGCTCTGGGGCACTCACAAACCCTTTGAGCACCCCCATCCTCACAGCTTCCCATGCCTGTCAGTCGTAGGGGTCCCCCTCGTTTTTGGGGCACCTGGTAAGTGCCACTGTCATATCCTTTGGCTATCCCCACAGACTCAAGGACACTCCTATTCTCTGTGGGAGAAGAGTTTTGGGCAGCCCCAGCTCCAGGGCACCATCACAGCCCCGCTAGGATACCCCCACTCCCTGTGCCGCCTCACATTTTTGGGGCCCTGTAGCTCTGAAATTATCATTTTGCAAGGGACCATTTTCCCCTGTAGGCACCCCCGTACCGCTGGGGCACCAATTCCGACACAGACCCCACACGCTGGGGCACACCCGCTACTTCCTAGAGCATCCCGGTGACCCTAAGGGCACCCCACTGTTCGGGGACACCCCCCAACACTGCGAGCATTCAATTCACGGGGCGGGGGGGACCTCACACTTCTGGGGACTCCCAAGCCGCAGGCACAGCACATATCCCTGCCTCACCCCGCCTGGCGGCGATGCCCGTACCAGGAGGACACCCCGGTGCACCCCTGCACCTGTCCCGCCGCATTTTGGGGACACCCCGTGTCCCCTCGCATTCAGGGGACAGCCCGTGTCCCGTCTCATTTTGGAGACAGCCCGTGTCCCGTCTCATTTCGGGCACACCCTGCGTCTCACTGCATTCAGGGGACACCCCGTGTCCCATCACACTTTGGGGACAGCCCGTGTCCCCTCTCATTTCGGGCACACCCCGTGTCCCCCCGCATTTTGGAGACAGCCCGTGTCCCGCCGCATTTTGGGGACACCCCGTAACCCATCTCATTTTGGGGACACCGCCCCCCCTTTCCCGCCGCGGGGGCGGAGCCTCCTTGTGACGTCACACTCGGTGGGCGTGGCGAAGGCGGCCCGGGGCGGTGGCGCGGAGCCGGAAGTGACGCGCGGGCGCGAGAGCGGAAGCGGCGGCGCAGGCTCGGGCGGGTCCCCGGTGCGCGCAGCGGGCTGGGCTCCCTCAGAGCCGCTCCCGGCACCGACATGATCCTGCTCGAGGTCAACAACCGCATCATCGAGGAGACCCTCACGCTCAAGTTCGAGGGCGCGGCCGCCGGGTAGGCGCAGGGGGGGCTGACAGGTGGGGAGGGTGACAAGGCAGGATGTGGGGCTGGCGGGCGGCGGGAGCGGCGCTGCCGGGTGGCGGCCCGGGAACGGCGGGGGCAGAGCGGGCTCGGCGTGGGGGCCTGCAGGGTGCGGGGGGTGGCCGGGGTGCGGGAACTGAGGTGCGGGCGGCGGGATGGGCAGGGGGAGAGCCGGGGATGAGGGAGCAGTGTCGGGGGGAGAGTGGGGCTGGATGGGGTCGTTGTGCCAGGGCAGGGAGAGCCCCGGGGAGCAGGACGGCTCTGGGATGGGTACCGGAGATTGCCGTGCTGAGGGGGCCTGGAGGACACGGCCTGGACGGGGAGGAAGTGGGATGGGGAGGAAGGTGGATTTGCAGGGTGTTTGCTGTGGGTAAAGTGGGCTTCATCAGCCTGGTACGGAATGTGTAGGGGGAGGCGGGGAACAGGAAGCCTGAGGATGGAGTCATGGCCTCAGCCTTTTGCTTTGGGGTGAGGAGCAAATTGCAGCTTGCTCGCTCTTTGCTGTGTCGAGCAGAAGGGATGCAGGCACACGGGTCAGCCACGGCCGCTGGTGCCAGCCCGGAGGGTGTCCTGGCCTCGGGGGTCTGGGTCACACCCCCTCTCTGGCTGGGACAGTTCAGTCCCTGGGGAGCCAGTGGGTTTTTTTACTGTATTGCACCAGGGCTGTAGAGATGCTTGTGAGGACACAGCTTAGGTTGGAAGGAAGCCCTTTAAGTATGAGTGTCCTTATCTGCAACGAGTGGCCTGCGGGCTCCGTGCACTGCCTGCCGACTGAGACACCTTTGTACACAGACAGAGCCGTGAGAGGCAGAGCAGTGGCGTTATCTCTGGGGTGGAGCCTGCCCTGGCGCCTCACAAGGCAGGGCTCCGGCTGCTCCAGGAGAGGACCCCCCAGGCAGGTGCCTTTTTCCGTGCTACCTTTTTTCTCCAGCGATTTTTGAAGCTCTCAGCCTTCTGCATGCAGAATGTTGCATGCAATCTGCTTTCCCCCCGATCTCAGCTGACTTGTTGCTCAGATTCGTGTTTTGTTTTGGAGGGTTTTTTTTCCCATAAAATAATCTTACAGACTGCTCTGCCTTGGAGGACAGCTGAGTCCCAGATTTTGATTTGTCTTGAGCCTTGATCATTTAATGCAACAAGTTTCCCCAGAGTACAGGCATGGCACTGGCAGAGAGCTCCCAGGTGACCACTGGGTATTGCAGCACTTCCATTAGAAAATATGGCATGTCCAGAGGTTCACAGGGAGTGTCAGAACAGCTCCTCAATCACTAGTCTGTGCCAAGGCACTCTTCCTGCTGGAGGGAGAAGAATGTGCACATGTCCCTGTTGATCTGACGTGGAGGGGCAGTTTTCAGCTTCAGATGCACCCCAAAACTCTGGCTGTGTGAGCAGAGCTGTGCTTGCTCACCCTGCAGCAGCCTGCAGGCCCCTGAGATCTCCATTCTGCTGCATGGCAAAGCCACCTCACTGGTGTGTTGGCACATGTGCCTGACATACTGATTGTTCCTGGATCAGTTTGGAGGGTGGCTGATGGTGCTCTGCTTCTGCCTTTTAGTCATCTGTGGCATGTTCTGTGCTTTAGATGGCAGTTCTAGATAAGCTTTGTGCCTTGAGTGTGTTGCTGAAAGTGAGGAAGACATTTACTTCTGAATTTCCTTCTGTGCTTGTTCTGGGGTCCCCCATCCAGGCAAGTGCAGGGAGGTTTCTCCTGGTTTCAGGTCTTCTAAGGAATGGATGTTACAAGATATTTATTCAAGTGATTTTTTTTTTCCAATGGCCACAGCTCTCGGGTTATTCCTGTGGTGCTCTGCCTGGAGGCAGGAAGGGATTTCCTGTATTTTGGTGATGGTTTTCCAAGGTGTATCTTGGGGCTGAATACAGGACAGGGCAAGGACAAGCCTTGAAGAATTTGGTGGCTGGGAGGAGTGAGCTGGACAGTGGGGCAGAGTTAGGTGTACATTATTTGCTCTAACCCAGAAGTGCAGCAGATGTGATGCAGGGATTTGTCAGTAGTGGCTGTCTCAGAGCCAGGTGTGCCTGGTGGCTTCAGCACCAGCCTGGAAATGGGGCAGGGCAGGGTTCCTTTCCAAATCCTTTGCCAGAGACTTGTCCTGAGACATGGGCTGCAGTGCAGCCATAGTTTGGCAGGTTCCTGCAGAGCTTTCCTGGGCTATCAGGTGGGAGACATTCCACATTTCACCCTGTCACATAGAACTAGGTCACATTTAGAAGATGGAATTCATTAACTGCCATTATTGTCATATATGTCAAAATCTGCTCTGTGTGGAGGTCCATCAGCTGTCCCTGGAGTTCCCAGTGTGAAAGGTACCTTGGCAGGACTGCAGACAGAGATCAGCACTTGAGACAGGGCCTAACCCACTCCTAAGAGTATTCCCTGGACAAGGTCCTTGGGGCTTGGCAGCATCCACCTGTACACAGGATAATTTCAAATTTAATTTGGTTTTGTGGGCTGACCCAATGCAAATCTCGCCTCCTTGGACAGCCACTGTTGAAACATGATATTTAGATCAGGGTGGTAACAGATCATGGACTTCAATGCATCTGATTTTTTTTTTCTTATTTAGTTCTAGTAATTTATTTCTTTAAATCTGTTCTCTTAAACCAACCACATTTTAAAATAAAAGCCTGAAGCTACCAGAGTCTGTTGAAATAACTTGAGTTAGGAATTTGCTGCTGCAATGTGGGAATATCTGGTCAGTACCTAGAAATAAGTTTGTTGAAATGAGGTTGGCTCATGAGCTTTTTTACATGTCAAGAGGAAGCTTCCATAAGCTTTTGACCATTTCATTTGTACATGAGATGTTGCCTGGAAGATGTTACCTGTGTCACAGGTGGGTTTTCCCATTCCTGATAGAAGTGTCGTGTGAGAAGATGAGCTCTACCAGTTGGAAAATCCTGTTTCTCATTGCTTTCCTCTACTAAATGCACAGACATTAAGAAAACCCCACAAACACTTTAAGTGTAAAACATTTTGATGATTGTCTTCTGTGTCTGATGAATATTCATTCTGTTTGACCCTAACAGATTTGCCATCCAGTTTTGTCCTGCCCTAATTTAACTGGCCCCAGGGAAAGCGTGGCACAGGGCTTTGGTCTTAGGGTTTGGTTTTCTAGTCATACGTAGCTTACCCAAAATCTTTAGTAAATTAATCATCTGTCTCAAACTGTTACTTATTATTTATTCACTGTGCAAAAGAACACAAATTTGCATAGCTGGGGTACAGCATGCCTTTTCCTAGGCTGGGGGCAGAGAGGGAAGATAATCTCAAATTAAATTGTTGGTTTCTTTATAGCCATTGGTAGGTACAGCTCTGCAGGGCTCCC